TGCCTTTTAAAGGGGCAGCATTTCAAGGCCACCTTTGGATAGAAACCTAAATGGACATTAACTGGCTCAAGCCAGCCTGCAATGTCTCTTTTGTCACACCTCTAATGATCTGTTTGATGTCTCTTTTTCCCTTCTGGTTTATAAGGTCTTGTGAAAGCAGGAACTAGAATCACTTGGTTTACTACCGTATGACCAGAACCTAGAACAGTACCTGGCACACAGCAGACACTCAGTCAACATTTGTCTTCTACAATGCTCCAGGCTGGGAACAGGGCAGATGATGAAAGAGGAAGAGAAACATTATATCTGTTGTCACTTGCAAGGGAGTAGGATGGAAACTAGAGATAGAATCACAAAGGGGGCCCTTAACAGCAATCAAAGGCTGGCAGTGGCACAGGTCCCACCCTGAGGAGCAAGGACATCCCAGAGTCAAGTTAAAAGCCCTTGTTAGAAGTTAAAAGCCCTGGGCTCGGTGTTCCGGAAGCTTAATATCATGACCATGCTTACGACACCACCATTTCCCTGCTTCCCAACACCTCCGATGCAGGCTGACATTTTCTTTAATCACATCAGGAAAATAAATGATGTCACTGTGGCAGCCCTCTCAAAATAGCAAAGAAGCAAGCCCATTCCAAAATGGGCCACATTCAGTATTACATAAGTCTTGACGCTTTGGGCAAAAATCACATTTTCAGAAATCTGGCTGGAACACAGTGAACTAATGGAAAAAGCGCTCGGCAGAGAGACAGGGAAATTGGATTCCAGTTTCAGCTTTGCTACTAAATCTTTGTCCTTGGGCAAGTCATTCCACTGCTCTCTCTGGGCCTTATTTTCTGCATCTGTAAAATGAGCGTGTTTTCCTGAAAAAGACGGAGGAGGTACCTTCCAGTTCTCAAATCAAAAGTTACTGGGTCCACTTGGGAGCCGCCTCTAGCAGCCCTCCCTGCTGCCCCTTCAAGGTCACTCCCCTCTGGCCACCAAAGCAAATTCTGTCCTTATTCCTCATCCCCTCAGTGTGGCCTCTCCACACAGAAAAACTCTGTTCTCTAATGTTTTATCAACTTGAAACTGTGGCTTGTATTTAAGCACTTGTCAAAACCACCCTGGGTTTGGACATGGGCACGTTCATGGGCGTGCTTTATTCTTTCTACATAGAGCACAGCACCTTAGGGAAAAATACCACACATTTTATCCTCCCCACACACACCTAGCACGTACAGGTGCTCCGTCAGGACTTGCCAACCTCACCGGCAGAAGAGTGTATAAGTAAATTTGGGATTACTGTAATCACGCTCAAATTCTCCAAACCCCAGGAGACTAACTGGGGCCAGCAAATAGGTACTAAGTCCATCTTTTCTTGTTAAGAGATACCTCCCTGCACAGTTGGCGGATTGATTTTCCTGATTACAGGCAGTGCTACCCAACAGCTCTGAATACTCTTCAATAAGTAAATACCTGTTTCAGCTCGACTTTTAAAGTTACACAGACTTTGTGAAGACAATGAGCAACTTCTTTCTTGGGTCTGAACTCCAAAAACATAGAGAAACCTCTCTTCAGGGGTACAATGAGAGTCTCCAGCACAAAAGTACAAAATATAGTTGACCCTTGAACACTTTGGGGGAACTGACTTCACACACAGTCAAAAATCCATATCACTTCTGACTCCTCCCAAATTTAATGAATGGCCTACTATTGACCGGAAGCCTTACTGATAGCGTAAATAGCCTATTAACACAATTTTGTATGTTATATGTTTTATATACTGTATAATAAAGTAAGCCAGAGATTGAAAAATGTTATTAAGAAAATCATAAGGAAGAGAAAATATATTTACTATTCATTAAGTGGAAGTGGGTCACCCCAAAGGCCTCATCCTTGTCATCTTCACATTGAGTAGGCTGAGGAAGAGGAGGGGTTGGTCTTGCTGTCTCAGGGGTGGCAAAGGCAGAAGAAAATCTGTGTCTAAGTGGGCCTGTGCAGTTCAAACCCATGGTTCAAAGGTCAACTGCTTTGCCAATGCAATCTCCTCAGTTACAGAGTGTATATATATATATATATATATATATATATATATATGACTTCTACAAACCAAGTGGCTTCATTCAGCCTATAGATGGTCCCAGGGCAGAAGCAGCTTGGAGTCTTTTATTCCAGTTTGAAAGAAAGGATTCTTAAAGTTGGAGGAAAAACACCACAAGCAAGAGAGCCTTATGTGAATGTTAAATACTAGATGTTTGCATTTTTTTAATCAAATCTACCATCTGTGACTCAAAGGGTCCCCAGAGATCAAGTCAATTGTGCATGGGATGGTTAACAACCAGCTTTCTCTCACAAATGGGCCTGGAGAGCTCCTGTGGAGGTGTCTGGCAGAGGAACACAAATCCTAGTAGGTTCCATCCTTTGTCTGCAAGGCCACCTCTTTGGTGGAAGGCACAGGTCTCTGAGGGAGAGGTGAGGAGGGAAGGGACACCACTCAGCCAGGCAGATCTGGTCAAATCAACCCTGTGTCAGCGAGATGGCAGATGGGCAGCTGGCTCTGCATCCCCATTCAGATGGCAGGAGGAGGAGAAAGAGGACAGACACTGTAGACACTGAGGCCACTGTGCACAGTCTCTCGCTCAGACCAAGAGTTCTAGTGTCCTCCCTGGAAACAAGACTCTTTCAGTGCCATTTTATGTACAGAAAGAGTGATTATTTGAGGCTTGAACACAGAACTTGATGGGACAGGCTCAAAGGAAGACTTAAAAAAGTTCAGACTGTGTTTTATATTCAAAAGTTTAAGGTAATTTCACTATTTTTTTCCAAAGCTATTTAAAAATATAATCGTTTCTTTCTCTTTGTCCAAAAGTGACATACTAAAAATCAACTTCTAATTTCCCTCACGTAGACTCACAAAAATGTCAACAAAGAAGGACAAGGATATTAACTGAGGCACTACTTTTAATACTAGGAAAATGGAATAAAACTATGTATTCATCAATAGCAAACTGTATAAATGGGTTATGATGCATCCATACCATGGAATACTATACATACATAGTCAAAAGGAATGGCATAATTCTGTATTTAGTGCACAAAAGATGCCTGAGATATATTATGTTAAAGCAAAAACAATTTCATGCATAAGTGACAGAATAGTATATGTCATGATTTGGAAAAACAGAAATTCTGTGTGTATAAATTACATATGATCATATGCACACAGGAAAGATTTGGAAGGACATTTACTGAACCTAATAGTGGTTGTCTCTGGAGGATGGAATGGGGTATGGTTGGATTGGATGGGGTATTTCTAACATATACAATTCTATCCTATTAAAAAAATTTTTTTTGTACAAGTATGTATTAGTTTTTCAATTGGTGGACAGGTAAGAGCCTTGGATTAACCATAACATATTATCATAACTGATTCATGCATGGCTTACTTTTACTTAATCAGTTATATTTAATAATAAAGCACCCCTGAACTCACCACCCCAAACAAAAGTTAGATCCTTGACAATAACCTACATCTAACCATATGATCCTCCCTCCCATGTCTTCTCATACTCTAGCCAACCACCACTCAAATCCCACATTCATGATTACTTATGTAATTAATAAATAAAACGAATAAATGGAAAAAATTAATTTGGTTGGTTTTCAAACTCACTGCTAGTGAATCAAACAGAAATATTACAAATTTAATTCTAAGATCTTCTCTACACATAGAGCAACCCCATCCACCATTTTTCCAGTAGTGCAGTGTGGGTCACCCTGGTGGCCATTACCAGGTCAAGAAACTAACTTCCAGAAAACACCAGGAGCCAAAAGGGAAACATTTTTCACAAGAGATCATTTCCCTAGGAGCAAAGTCAGTCAGCAGCTGTTTCAAATCCATCATAACCATGTAATTTAAAATATGTCTAGTCTGTACAAAAAAAAGTGTCTAGGCTTTCCCTCAAGATAGCATGTAAGCATTTAGTGATAGCAAGTAATGATCCCTCTAATATATAGGGTTTCTCAGAAAGCTTTAATTATTAGTTTAAGAGACAGCACAAGATAGAAGAGTGCCAGAAGGCAAAGAAAGAATGAAATTAAATCAGTCTCTATAATAGAACTCAAATTATTTGGAAACCTAACTTCTAGCATGTTTTTACTCTATCCATTTTTATGTCCTTTGATTCCATGAATTCTGGGCCTCCATTTAAAATGAAATTCAACGTTCTGCATTTGGGAAATACACTAAATTGTTAAGTATACTTCTCTAGTTTGGGTTAAATCCATACTTACTGATAAAGAAAATGCTTCTCCAAGTATGATGATTTTTTCAAGTAATAGCTTCTACGATCCATAACTTGTGAAAACCAGTATCAGCTCTTTGCAAATGGGCAAGACTTCATCTAATCTCACTCATCATTTGACAAAAAGAAAAGTCTCAAACTTAAGTCAAAGACGTATAGCAATACAAAAAAGTCTTTCCTCCGGGTTTCCTAACATCTGCTTCTCCCAAATATGAATTATAGTTAAATTCTCAGTTATGGACATTTAATTGACATGGACATATAATCCAATATGGCAAATAAATAAAAAATTATTTATCTTTGAGGCATATTTTTTATACTTGAAGACAGTATCTCCTGCTCTAGACTTTACAACACAGGGACTGTCAAGAAGGAAGGGCTCTCCCAGCACACCCTGTCTGCCCTCCCATTCAACTCAACCTTGAACACCATTTGGTGCTGGGAATGGATGCACCATGGGTAGGCTGTGCTCCTCCTCTCTCTACCAAACATTATCTGTGGTTTATAGTTCCCAGGTGAAAAGGAATTAGATATTTTGACTTTAATCCTGCTGGGCTGCAGACCATACACAGAAAGGGTAAATAATATCAAAGCCTTGTGCCTCTGGTTCAACTATACCAATGAGAAAGGCAGTCAAGGCACCTGCAAATAATGAAAGCCTGCGGGTGGAGAGTGCCTACCGCAATGGGGTTAGCACCCTGTTTCAGCACCACTTACTCTTCTTTCCTAAGCAGCTCCTCCTCGGAATCCGTCAGGCGCTGCCTCAGCGCAGCTATCATCTCCACGGCCACGTCCACCTGCCTGTTGAGGGCCCGCTCTCGCCTCTGAACTTCCTGCTTTTTCTGAGTCAGCTGCACGAAAGCTGCCCGAACCTCCAACAGTTCGGCAGTTTTCTGGGCCACCTCTTTGGTGAGTTTGTCGATTCTCTTCTCGATGGTCCTATCCACCGCCTCGACCATGCGATTGAATTTTTCTCTGACGTGTGCCTCGAAAGCAGCTTTGGTGTCCGAGGTGGGAAGGCCGGGGCTGGACCGCGGCCCATCCAGCGAGTCTGCGCGCAGGTCCATCGCAGTGTACGTCTGCACGTAGGACACGGGCCTCTCCGCCACCACCTCACATGGCTTCCTGTCCTTGGAGTGCCCATGCGCGATGCTGTACAAGTTAACATAGCTCGGTTTCTGCTTTACCACGTGGCCGCTGCCCTGCAATTTTCCCTGTTTCAGGAGTTCTGAGGAAGGGACCAGGTCTGTGTCTTTGAGGGATGGAAAGAGGCTGCATTTTGTCAAGAGGGTTCTTTCTTCGTAGCTGTGACTGAATTCCAGATGGGCCCTCAAGGACGACAGGCTTCTAAATCTAGTATGGTCTCCACACCTCGGGCAACCGAATGGCAGGCACACAGCAACATTCTCAAAGGACTCCTGCCAGGGATATCTGCTTTCCTCAAAAGCCTTCTGTTGCATTACTCTGAAAGTCCTGGGAGGGGGAGTGAAAAGAAAACCAAGTAGTTTACATGTCTGCTGAAAAACATTCTATCTGAAATTACTGTCACCCATCTCCATGACAGCAGAAGCTTTTTGGTTTCAAGTGACTTTGGCATATATTTTATGTTGCAATTAAAACCTACACCCCAGGAGCCAAATCCATTTCGGTATTGTCTACTGCTGCTTTTGCACTGCAGTGGCAGAGGTGAGTGACTGAGACTGTATGGCCCAAAAGCTGAACGTATTTACGACCTTTAAAGAAAAAGTTCACCAACCCCTGCCTAGAACAGAAAAGGTGGGTAACATTCCCTCTTCTCAGATGAGAACATTGCAGCAAGGAAGTAAAACAATTAATCCAAAGTCCAATGGAAAGTAGTAGATCCAGAAGTAGCATTCAAGTTTCCTGCCCTCCTGAATTTAGTACACTGAAAACAAAACCGTGCCCTATTTTCCTGATATGCATGAATACAAAAAAAAAGAGGAAAACTCACATGAATTATCAGAATAGGACCTAAAAGAACAAGCTCGGCGATCTTTCCTCAAGCATAGTAAAGATTACTCAAGCTAGTCACAGTGGCATTTAAGTACACAATCAGCTGACAAATTTTCCATCTGAGATCTTTGTCTTTAAGTTTTTCCTTTAATTATTGCTATGATGACATAAATCAACATGTAATCATGACAATAATTGTCCCCATAACTCGAGCTTTCCTGAAATTTGGGAACCCAAAATGTCAAATACCATTTGACATCATGGCCAAGATTTTATTATAATAAGAGTGTTCTGGATGGATTTGTCTTATCCCGGATGTTGTTTTACATGACATCCTGTAGAGATGGCCAATGTTTGAACCAGGTAAGTATCAGCATAACTCTTTTAATAACAGGAAGTTCTTCTTTCCTTGTAGGAATTTATTATCTTTGCCCTAGCAACAGATGACTGCTAGCAACCCAATTCTGCAAGCAGTGCATATCCTATTTCCTCTAAGGAATGGTTTCTACTTAAATGTAACAAGCACTGGACCCCAAAAGAAGAGAGCCAAGCTTCGGCCTCTGGGTGAAAAGTGTCATTATTAGGTCCTCACCCTCTTCAAAAGCAGCGGTGCAAATGGTCCCCACACAGCCAAGCAAGCACAGCCTCCAGGTTAAGCCTTGGGCCCCCCAAAAAGGGAACCTCTTCCTGTGCTACACTGGGATATTTAACCGCTGGTTTTGGGTGGATGAGATGCAAACACTAACCCAGCGCGCAGCCAAAGAGGAGGAAAAAGGGCAAGTCAGGATGCTGGGGGAGGCAATGAGAGAGGGGTGGCCCCCAGGAGGGGGAAACGGTAATCACACACTCCAGAATATGCAGGCTTTTATGGGCCCAGAGGAAACCCCAGTCCACCGGGTTGGTGGAAAAGCCCTTAATGTACTCTCCCAGAGTAGGGCAGGCTGGCAATGACCCTGCCTCGGGGTCCCAGCTCTCCCCGCCCCCGCGGCGTGGGAGTCCGCGGATGCCAAAGTGGATTCGTGCGCACACGAGTTGCTGCAGGTGGGGGCCGAGAAGCCGGCTCCCTTAACTCCTCCCGCGCCGCGGGGTCCGGAACCCGCTCCCCAGCCCCAGCAACCCCGGATCGGTGCCCTCCGCCGCGCCCCAGGCCGGACCGCGGGCGCAGATGCCCGGCGGCCGCCACTCACCCGACTTGTTGCTGCCGCTGCAGCCGCCGCCGCCGCCGGTGCCGATGCTGCGGGAGCGGAGCGGTTTTCAGCAAAGCCGTAAATCAGGCTGAGCCCGGCCGGCTCCCACCCCCCGCCGCACCTCCGCGCCGGGACGAGCGGCGTCCAGGGCGGAGCGTGGCGCGGGCCAGCCGGCGGGGGCGGCGCTCGCGGCCGCCGGGGACACCGCGCGCCCGGGGCCGGGGGGCCTGGAGCGCCGCCGCCCCCGGGCTGCCGCCACCGCTGCGGGTGACAACCCTTGCTCTCTCTGCCCTCCACCAGCCGGGGAGCGGGTCCGACTCAGGAGTCCACTGACATCACTGGGAGAGAGGCCGGGACCGTTCCGGGGAGGGAAGGGGAGACGCGTGCCCGCCTCGCAGGCGCCGCGCTTTCTGCAGGCCTAGCAAGCTTTCTTTTTTCTCTTTTTTTTTTTTTTTTTTTTTTTTTGCACTTCACAGTTTTAGGGGTGCGGGAGAGTGTGGATGAGGAGGAGGCATCGCTGGGCATCTTTGAAAATCCGCCAGCAGGAAGGTCTGGGTTTTTATATTAGGGCCTCTTTGTCCGTAAGCAAGAGGGCGAGAACGTCCCCAAATAACTAACCTAGAGAGTCTGCTCCAGCCTGCCTGGCCAAGTGTCCTGGAGCTACGCTGACAGGCAGAACTAGATCTAGTAAAGTACACGGGTCGTGAATAAGCAGTTAAAGGCAACCAGATCTCCCACCTGCACCCACATCTCTGAGGGGCGACGCCCCTTCCTCTGGAGAAGGGAAGATTTACATCCCAAAGAGAGATTTCTTTCCTTTTGAAGGACCGTTATGTCTCAGCTTGCTGGTTTTGTTTTGTTTCTTAGCCTGTTTTGGGTTACTGCTAGTCTAACTCCTGAAATATGAAACAGGTCAAAAGTTACTGCTGGGTTTTCAAGTCAAAAGGAGAGTCTCTGGTCATCTGTAGGCAGTTTTTTTAATGTGCCTTGTCCTCCAGGCTTGCTATGACTCATTTCAGCACTGATTTTATTTTAACTGTAATTATTAATAGCTCAATAATTACCTTGGTTGAGTTTGTTTTGTTTTTGACAACTGAGTTATCGCATCAATGTAATTAAGATCCCAAGCTGTGGAATCAGACTTGATTCATATCCAAGCTCTAGGATCCAAATCCTGACAGTAGGACCCGGGTCAAGTAACTAGACTTTTCTGTGCCTTGGATTCCTCATCTGTAAAAGGGAGATAATCAGGACAGACCTCTTAATAGGGTGGTGAGGATCAAATGAAGTGATGACAGTAAAACACATTCCCTAACTAGACATACACTGCTAAAGTCAGCTATCCTTGTCCTTTCGTGTATCATTATTATTAATTCTCGAAGAGAGGGACCTACATGCCTGTAAAAAAAACAAAAAAGAGAAGTGGAAATAATATGTACCTCCATAAGTCAAGATAGGCAATTGTTCTGGGGTATGTTCCCTTTGAAAATATTATATTTCATTGAAGTTACCTTTTGACTCACCCTCAAAAATATATTTATTCCAACAACCAATTCATTTAGTAAGAATGTTTAAAGTCTGAAAGGTACACACATTGGAAGTTCAGGTCATCTTGGGAGGTGCACGCAGGGTAAACTTTTCATTGGCTGCCTTCATGGCAGAATGCAACAGAAGTATGCTCTAGAGGCAAAACATTTTTTGGGGTTCAGGCTCCTCGGTTTCTTAAGCAGCTTCTCCTTTTTTGGTCCTTAAGTTCCTCCCCTGTTAAATGAAAGGATGGAGATTTTCCAGGGCCTTTGCTCATCCTAAAAATACTATAAATATTATCAAATAATTATGGAGAGGTTATTCTGTGCAGGTTCTAAAGCTGAGCATTGTGGGAGACTCAACTTTGATCAACAGGCATTTGGGACCTTAGAGCTTACACCAGTGGTTCTCAAACCATCACTCACACACACACCTGCCCCCATCCGTCAGCAGCATGAGCATGACCTGGCAGCTTGTTAAAGTGTGTATCATTGACCTGGTGCCAGACCTGCTGAATCAAAACTCTGGAGGAGGGACCGCAGCAATCCGTGATTCAACAGGCTCTCCAAGTGATTCTGAGGAATGCTAAAGTTTGAGAACCACTGGTTTACATAGTAATTCTTCATGTGTTGTCTCACAACAAACCAGTAAGATGTGTTATCTTTGTGATCATGCCTCTCTGTGCTGAGCACCGTGCTAAATGCTTTATTATTTCATTTAATCTTTCAACACCTGCGATGGGGGAACCTTGTGCATTCAGCCCCAGCCACACAGGCATCCCTTAAGAGTCAGTCTAGCTTCTTCCCTTCTCTGGGGCATCTTTATCTGGTCGTGCCTACTCATCCTGCAGGGCTCAGCCTAAGTATGCCCTCTCCACGAAGGTCTTCCCTGACACTCCCAGATTAGGTTAACTCTGAGTAGGAGAATTTATCACAACAGAATTTATTACAATAGAATTCATTTTGTGTGTAGTTGTCTGATTAATATTTGCGTCCACTATTACATTGTAAGCCACATGAGTTAGGGACCCTGTCTGTCTTCATCTCCAGTATATTTCCATTTCTGGCACAGTGCTGGTCACATATAAAGTGCTCGAAAAATACTTGTTGAAGGAATGACTGTGAACAAATGAATCCCCTTTCCACACTGGAGGAAACTGAGGCTAAAATAAATTAAATAACTTTCTCCAGATTACCCCACTCAAAAGCCTTAGAGCCCGGTCACCAAACTCCAGTCTTTTACCCACAATTCTCATTGCCTGTACATTTTTTGATAAAAAAAAAATATATAGAAGTAAAGCGACTTGCTTAAAGTTACCTAGCTAATAAATAATAGAATCAGGATTAGAGTTCATGTTTTCTAACATTGATGTGCTTCTATGCCACATTATGCTGTCCTATCTTGCCCTCCAGAAATTTACAACTAGTGGGACGGACACAAAGCATAAATACAGGACTCAAGGAGGGAGGGGGGCATGGGCAATACACGTAACCTTAACACTTGTACCCCCATAATATGCTAAAATAAAAAAATAAAGTACAACTACATTGAGTTAAAGAAATGCTGAAGAATTTTAGCTGTATCAATTATATTTTCTTATATTATTTACAATCATGTTTTATCTTTTCTTTTTTTTCTAATTAAATGTTAGGAACCATTTCTTTATTTCCACAATTAATCATAAGGTAATGTGCATAACTGAGTTACAATATAAACAAAACTCTGTCATTGATAGATCAAAGGCCTCTATGATAATGGTAAGAAAAACTAGATGTATTAACCAATCTATAAAATAAGCCAACTTTCAAATTTATTATATAAACATATATAGTGAATCCAAAAGATAAGGTTAGGCTGCACATGTAGTCATTAGCACATTCTTTTAATTTTAATTGACTTTAAATTTTTCAACACCTGCGATGTTGAAATTAGCACATTCTTTTAATTTTAATTGACTTTAAATTTTCTGCCTTCTCCAGGAAAAGACCCTCATGAACAGAAAAGTTTTGTTATGATAGGTCAAATGTTGATTTTAGGACAATTATAAAATATAACCTCAAATTTTAAGAAATGTATGAAAATTTACCATCCTCAATTTCACAAAGATTGCCACATTTCTTGACTTAATGAACTAAGTATTATAAAATAAAAATCAATGTAAGTTTCAATCTTGGTAATTTAATTTTTTAAAAATAAGTAGGGGGAGAAATAGGAGGAAAGGCAACATGTAACCTAAACATTTGTACCCCCATAATATGCTGAAATAAATAAATAAATAAATATATATATATATATAAGAAATTAATTGGGAAGTATCTACAGGGCCTGGCATCATGCCTGGTACATAGTAGATCTTCAGTGAATGCTGAATGATTAATGATCATAGCTCTCACCTTTAGAGTATTTACAATATGTCTTACTATAATAAATATTTATGCACATACCCAGGGTTTCTCAAAGTGGGGCCCATGGAGCCTAGGGAGCCTGTCAAATGCAGATGTGTGGGACCTTGACCCAACCAATTAGAATCTGTGAATGTGGGTCTTGAAAGTTACAGTTTCACCTATCTCCCCAGGTGACTCTCATGACCACTAACATTTAAGAAACACTTCTTCGTTACACTAACCAACAAGGCAGACACTGGTAGTCCCTTGTGCACAGAGCAAATGCCACTGAGGATGTGATGAACGTTGCTGAGGGTCACACCACTAATAAGCATTGGCGATAGTAAGGATTGAAAGATAATTCTGACTCCAAAAGCCTGGGGTCTCTGCAGTGTGACTGTGGAAAGAAGGGTGGGTGGAGTGGAAGGGTCAGAAGGAAAAGAGGAAGAGAAAGAGGGAGAGAGGGAGGAAAGAAAGAGGGAGAAAGGCCAAATGCTTGTTAGAGAAAATAGATTTCATGGAGAAGGGAAAGAGCCCTTCAGGCTGGGGTTGTCAGATAATCCTTGCTGAAAGACCTAGAAAAGGGGGTGAATGGAGATTTATGAGCTCCCTTTTCTCTCTCTTTATCAAATAACTTTCACTCCTTGTGGCCATAAGGGTTGCTTTTCAAACACAGGCTTCCTGACCAGGGTGCTGTTTAAATTTTTTAAAAATCCATTTATTAAATATGTTGATTACATTTGCCAAAAGGCAACCTTAGAGGGACTGAACACAGACCTTCTAACATATGAATAAGTGCCCCAAATAAA